TGAACATTTTTATAGTACATACAAATACATATATAGAAATATCATCTGCCAAATCTGTGTATGGTCATTGGTATGTTACTGTTTGCCTACCCATACCTGGTCATCCCGCCTGACTACCTATGTATCCACCTGTAGATTAATACTTTTTATTATTGGTAATGCAGTATTGTGTATGTAATAGTGTTTGCATTTGTTGTTGATGGCCAGTGAGTTTTTTTGTTGTTGTTGGTTTGTTGTCTGTAACTCTTATGTATCCATATCTTCATTTTCCTTATTGATAGTGTGCTGGCCACTTCCTTTTGGTATATTGCCTTTCCTGTCACCCAAATTAATATGTGTCTCTTACCTAGCTATTCCTTTTTCCTCCCCTCCCCTCCCATCACTGGTAACCGATAAAGCAAGTTTACTTCCATGTGTGAACCTTTCCTTGACTTTTTATAATAGTGAATTCATACAATATTTGCCCTCCTGTGATTGACTTATGTTACTCAGCATAATGTCCTCTAAGTTCATCCATGTTATGAGGTATTTTGCAGATTCTTCATTATTCTTTAATGTTGCATGGTATTCCATTGTGTGTATGTACCATAGTTTTATCAACCATTCATCTGTTGATGGGCAATTAAGTTGTTTCCATCTCTTTGCTATTGTGAATAGTGCTGCAATTCATGTCCTGGCTCTTAGTTCTTTATGACATATATATAGTAGTGGGATTGCTGGATCAAATGGTATTTCTATTTCCAACTTTTTAAGGAAGTGCTATTCCATTTTCCAAAATGGTCGTACCATTTTACAATCCCACGAACAGTGTATGAGAGTTCCCATCTCTTCACACCTTTGCCAGCAGTTGTTTTCTGTCCTGTTGCACTTTGCTATTATTGCTGGAGTGAGATGATATCTCATTGTTGTTTTGATTTGCATGTCTAATGGCTAATGATTGTGAGCATTTCTTCATAAGTTTGTTGGCTGCCTGAATATCTTCTTTGGTGAAGTGTCTGTTCATACTCATTTTAAAATTGGATTGTTTGTGTTTTGGATGTTGAGGTGTTGGAGTTTTCTATAAATTTTAGAGATAAGTTCTTTGTCAGATATGTTGTTGCTGAATATTTGTTCCTAATCTGTAGGTTCTCTTTTTATTCTTTTTGAGAAGTCTTTTGATGTGATAAGAATGGAATTTTTAGAAGGCCCCAGTCATCTAGTTTATGTTCTGTTGTTTGTACATTTTTGGTTATGTTTGATGGTCTATTTATGCCATAAATTAGGGCCCCTAAATTTGTCCCTATTTTTTCTTTGGTGGTCTTTGTAGTTTTAGGTTTTACATTTAGGTCTTTGACCCATCTTGAATCTGCTTTTTTATATGGTATGATACATGAGTCCTATTTCATTTTTCTGCAAACGAATATTCAGTTTTACCAGCACTATCTGTTAGAAAGACTATCTTATCCCCATTTAATGAGTTTTGGTCCATTGTCAAAGATCAACTGTCCATAGGTGGATGGATTTACTTCTGGGTTCTTGACTCTGGGTTCCATTGGTGCAGGTGTCTGTTGTTGTACCAGTACCAGGCTGTTTTGAGTACCATGGCTGTGTGGTAGATTTTGAGATTGGGAAATGTGAAGTGTCCTACTTTATTCTCTTTTAGTAGTCCTTTGCTTATCTGATGTTTCTTTCCTTTCCATATAAATTTGATGATCAGTTTTTCCATCTCATCAAAAAATGATGATGGAGTCTGAATCAGGATTGCATTATGTCTATAGATTGCATTGGATAATATTGACATTTTCACAGTGTTAAGTCTTCCTATTCATGAGCATAGGATATTCTTCCATTTACGTAGATCTCTTTTGGTTTCTTGTAGTAGTGTTTTGTAGTTTGCTTTGTATAGGTTTTTTTGTGTCTCTGGTTAGATTTATTCTTAAGTATTTCATTTTTTGGGGGTGGCTATTGTAAATGGTATTGTTCTACTGATTACCTTTTCAGAGTTCTCTTCATTAGTGTAAAGGAATCCAACTGATTTTTGTGTGTTGGTCTTGTACCCTGCTGCTTTGCTGCATCTTTCAATTAGTTCCAACAATTTTCTTGCTGAGTCTTTGGGATTTTCTAGATAAAAGACCATATCATCCACAAATAGAGATTGCTTTACTTCTTCATTGCCAATTTGGATGCCTTTTATTTCCCTTTCTTGCCTTATAGCTCTGGCTAGGATTCTAATAACAATTTTAAATAGGCGTAAAGGGCATTCTTGTCTGGTATTCATTCACAGGGAGAATGCTTTCAGTCTCTCTCTGTTGACACTAATGTTGACAATTGGTTTTGTATGTTGTTGTTGTTGTTATGTGACGTCGTCGAGTCAGACCCGACTCATAGAGACCCCTCCTTGGGTTTCCGAGGCAGTATCACTATGGAAGTAAATTGCCCAACCTTCCTTCTGAGGAGTGGCTGGTGGGTTTGAACTGCCACCCTTGGGTGTGGCAGGTGACTGTCTTAGGCCTGAGGCCATCCCCTAGGGCCTGGTTTTGTATATATGCCTTTAATTATGTTGAGGCATTTTCTTTCTATTCTTTTTTGTTAAGCATTTTTATCAGGAATGGGTGTTATATATTTTCAAATGTCTTTTCTGTGTTGATTGATATGATCATGTGGTTCTTTTCCTTTTCCTTTATTTTATTTACAAGGAACTTTTTTTTTATTGTGGTAAAAAGTATGTGTATAGAAACATTGCTATTTATACCATTTTTATTTATACAATTCAGTGATATTACTTATGTCTACAGTCATCACCACTATCCATTTCCAAATGCTGTAAACTTTCATGCAGCATATAACATATACTAAACAAAAACTAGGACTGCCCAGAGAATGTGAATAAAATATTTTTGACTTCATGAGATCAACAAGACAAAAAACAAGCATGATACAGAGGACTTGAACAATGTAATCAGTCAGTTCATTTAATAGATATACATATAAATGGAGAACATGCACTTTTTAATGATCTGAAACAGTTACAATTTAAGAATTTATTCAGCCATAAAGAAAACTTTATAAATTCCAAAAAGTTTTTATTTTAAAGGGCTTGCTGTCTGATCATAAACTAAGAAACTGGAAATTGACTATGAACACATAACAAGAGTGAAAACTTCTTATCCATGAATATTAAGAGATACTCTCCTAAATAGCCTTTAGGTAAAAGAAGAAATAAAAACTGAAATTATGAAATATCTAGAAAGTAATGAAGAGAAGAACACTTCATTCCAAAACATATGGGCTACAGCTAAAGCTGTTCTCAGAGTAATGTTTATAGACAGATTGAGAATACTTTAATTGAGAATTCAGTTTAGAAAATAAGAACAAGAATAAAATGGAACACATTAAATTAGGAGAGTACAAAAATGAAGTCAGTACAAGACAATGAAAAAGACTAACCAAGAGGATCTATTTTCAAGACCAGGTTTGCTGGTCTGATGGAGCCTGGTGAGACCCCCAAGATTATGGCCCCTAGTTACCCTTCAGGTCTGGAACTGAACTCACTCCTGTGGCGGCCAGCCAAACAATAGACAGGCATATGGGATGAACATTTACACCAGGTAGATACACTCCTTGGAGTGATCAATCAATCATGGGAGAACAGAAAGGCAGTGTTTGCACAGGGAGATAGTGGTGGGGGCAGGCAGGTAGGAGTGCATGTGAGGGAAGGACACAGGGAAGAGGTAACTACAGAGAGGAAGTGGGAAGAGAGCTATTACACAGTGGGGAACATCAGTCAATGTCATGAAACAAAATGTGTATGAACCGCTGTATGGAAAATGAATTTGCTCTGTAAACTTTCACCCAAATCAGAATAAAAATTTAAAAAAAAAAAGGTCTTCCAGACCCTGAAAAATCTACAAATATATTACTCTCTTTTCTAAATTATCAATATTTAATCTACCTGGAATTTTTATTTGGTGTAAAGTAAGAGTTCAACTTTGCTTTTTATGAATAGCCGTTTACTTCATTTCTTCTCTTTGAATTGAAATAAGATATTTTTATGTATTAAATTCTCATATATATTTGGAAAAAAAAAGGGATCTGTTTTCAAAATATGCCTTTGAAAACACCTAAGAGAATTAAAATATCTCAAGCAAGACCCTTGTTACATTAGATTTGAGGGAGAAAAGATCATCCTTTAAGGTGACATCAAAGCTTTACCACTGGCAGAGGGGTGCACAGTTGATGTTTTGGAACTATTAGGTCTGGCTAGTTAAGTTTTCACTACATGATATGATGAAAGGCCAGAAATCTCTGCAAAATTATTTATTGAGGCCAGTTAATGGGCAGAGGAGGTGTGACCTGCTCTGCAGAAGACCTAGAACCACATGGGGGTGCTCTGGTGGCATAGTGCCTATGAGATTTGACTGCTAACCAGGAGGCTGGCAGTTCAAACCTACCAGCCACTCCTCAGAAGGAAGATTGGGCAATCTATTTCCGTAGAGATAGTGCCTCAGAAACCCAAGGAGGGGTTGCTATGAGTCGAATTGACTCAACAACAATGAGTTTAGAAAACCCCATGAGAGGGCTAAGGGAAGCCAACAGAATGCAAGAACAAGGGAAAACTGTCTGGAATTGAGTTGAGACTAATTGTTGATTTGTTGTTGTGTGCCATCAAATCAATTTTGACCCATAGCAATCCCATATAACAGAGTAGAACTGCCTCACAGGGTTTCCTAGGCTGTAATCTTTAGGGAATGTTTTGCTAGGTCTTTTTTCCACACAGAGCAGCTGGTGGGTTCCAACTGCTGACCTTTTGGTTAGCAGCCGAGAACTTAACTGTTGTGCCACCAGGGCTCCTTTGAGACTAATTAGTGGGGCTGAATTGGGATGCATGGAATGCAACAGGGATTTTGGTCATCTTTAGGGCTATGACACTTGGTACTGGAGAAGGGGAGACTCCTTGACTGGCCCCTGGAGTCCAGAAGAAGCTCCAGGCTGGGGTCTGCAGGAGCAGATAGAAATCATGCCTAAGTGTTCCAGAGGACAGTGACCGTGATGATGGAGGAGGCCATGAAGAGTAGGTGGAGGTGGAAGAGCAGGGTGTCTATCATGTGGCTAAACTGCACCCACAGGTGAACAAGGCACTGCTTCTGGGCCTTGTGTTCCTGCTGGGTCCTTGTTGATTCTGGACACCCATTTAACTCTGCCTCTCCAGGGCTGGGTATCTTCCCTGCTAACACCTCTGGCTCCTTCAGACCTATGGAGAGGAGAGAGACTCATCCATGGGCTGAGAAGGTAACAAAAGTGAGGGAGGATGTTAGAGAAGGAGGCAGGAGCAGAGGAGTGGAGGTATTGGAAGAGGGAATATGGGCAGTGCTGAGTTCTCTTACCAGGCAGGTGGGTGGGGGTGACACTTAGGTTCTTATTTCCCTTCTGGGGTACAGTGATGCAGCATTTCCTACAGCTGGTACAGTGCAGCAGTAGGAAGTGGAGCCACTGAGGCATAGGTGGAGACTCAATGGTGGCCAGGTACAGCATGTAAGTGATGAAGACAGTCTCTAGCAGGCTGAGCACCATCAGGTACAGAAACAGGGCAAAGGAGACACCTGGAGGGAAGGCAGGCCTATGTGAGGCCACAGACACCATTGAGGACTCCTTTTCTCTCTTCCAATCATACCCTGGCAGGCCCAGAGGCTCCTTTTCCTAGTATTTCCTCTTTTCTGAGCTAGTTCAGTATGCCCTTCCCACCCTTCTCTTCCCAAAGGTTGGAAGGGCCATACGGATGAGGGGGGTGCCCCTGGTTGGGAGTAAGTCATTCATCATGAACAGGAACACATTGTAGCCCAACAGAAGAGTTGTCTTGAATGAAGCATGATTCCTACTTTCTGCCGGCAGGTAGAAGCTGAGGATATCCATGGCAACCAGAAAGCCAATGGGCACCAGAAGGTTTATCACGAACAGCTTGGACCTGCACCTGATGGTCACCTAGTGGGAGTGAGGGAGAATGAGGGAAAAGGATATGGGATTCTGAGGCTTCCAGGAACAGTAGCAAACTGTTTCTTTTTTTGCCTTTTCTCATTGGTCTGATCCCACTATGAGAACAGAAGCTGTGTGAGATGTAGCTTCATAATTTGATGTAGAACCTATTGAGGGAGAGTTAGTCTTCAGGAGGACTCCTCAGTCTTTAGGAGGAGTTTCCTCCTTTAGGAAGGAGAGTGAAGCTCGGTGGCTAGGAGAGAGGGTCTGATCTCATAGAGGATTCTGGGCTCAGGTAGAAGAGGAAAGAATGAGTGTGGTAGTTAAAGTTGTATGTCAACTTGGTTGGGCCTGGTTGAGTGGCTGGGCAGCTGGTGGTAGTTATTCCCCATGATGAGACTGCCAATCAACTCCATGGTGGGATCTACCACAAGCAGCTGAGTAGCTGCTTTAGGGATGTGTTCTGTTTCCTGTATATAAGCAGCAGCTTTGGGAATGGTCTCTAGCTTATGGCATGCTTGAACCCTGCATATAGCTGGGTCATTGTTCAGCAGCCTGCCATGCTCTGCCGACCTTGGGACTTCCAGTGGACTTGAATTAATGGCCTGCTGTGTAGTTTGGTAACATTGGGACTGTGTCCTTTTACTTGTCAACCTTGGGCTTGTCAGTCTCAGCAGCCAGTAGCTGTCTGAGTGAAGAAAAGCCTTCAGCTTCAGTGAGCCAGGAGCAGGAGGCCGAGGTGGACTCCAAGGTGGAAGAGTTTTCACCCAGCCCCTAGAGCCTGGCACTTTGAACTTGGACTTAAAGCCTCCAAACTGTAAGAAAATAAACTCGTATTTCTTTAAGCCACCCCATTTGTCATATATTCCTGTCAGAGCGGCACTAGGTAACCAGAACAGTGAGAAACTCTTAACACTTTGAAGATACCCACTGTGATAGTTGGGGCTGAGTGTCAACTTTGCTGGACCACGAATTGAGTGGTTTAATCAGTTGTGATGTGGTTATTTCCATGATGAGACTGGATGTATTTTTTTTTTTTTTTAAATTGTGATTTGGGTGAAGAGTTACAGAGCAAATTCACTTTTTTTTTTTTTTTAAATTAGGATTTGGGTGAAGATTTACAGAGTAAATTCACTTTTCATACAGCAGTTCACATATACTTTGTCTCATGTCATTGACCA